AGACTTGCAAGAATTTTCTGAGAAGCACAGAATGAGAAAATTACTGTAATTTTGCAACTGAGGAATGTGTTTCCAGCATACAAGAGCTGATACTTTAAATACTTGCCACTGTGGAATCTACCTTTCCAACAGGTTCTGAAGATCACAAACTCTTTTGCTTGTGAACCATGCTGGGCTAGTCAGCATTCTTGCTTTGAGCTAGTTTTATGGCTTTTCTACATAACAAATTAGTATAAAGGAAAGCATAGTATGGATTTACAGTATGTTAACTATTCTTCTCTTTGGAAACCTAAAGTATTCCCCGTGCCCTATTCAAATGAGCCGTACATTATTTGGCTGACTACAGCCATTTTGTTGGGTTGATTTTAGTCAGGTTCAGTAGATTTCCACTGGAGTAGAATGGCAGAGGCTACAAGTACAGTGAAAAAGTTAAGAAAATGTAAAAGGGGAGGCTAATCTGAATGTTTATGTGAGTAAATAAGACACAAAGGTGGTACTGTCCTTTGTATTTATCTAAATACTACTTTGTGCGTGAAGGATTTGGGTAGGTATTAAAAAAAGAAATTGTATACGTGGTCCTTAATTCCTGTCTTAAATTGCGGTAGGAAACAAAGGTGAGAAGTTTGGTGTTCTGCTGCTCATGTGCAAAGCCCACCAAGCCTGTTGAAAGATTAGCATGAAACTGAAACAAGGAAACTACCATTTTGTTTGAGCACTTGGGGTTGGGTCTGGCTGTAAAAGACTGTTCCATTGTTAACAGATCATGAAAGCCCTTTTAACTGCACATTGCGATAGTAGCAAATACGGATGAGTGAGGTTTATTGGTACAATAACAAGTTGCCGTGTACCAAGAGGCCCAATTTTAACAATTGAAAAAAAAATAAAATTAGCTACCTTCATTTTTACGTGCCTAACCTAAGACTCTACCCTTACCTGCCTGTATTGCCTGTACCAGAGCAGGACCCAGTGTGCTTTTGACATAATCCCTCTGTCTCCTTGATCATGGTAGATGGCTATAATTCAACTGTGTGCCTTCACACAGTCCTACAGGCAGTCTGAGCTCACACTGCTGATAAGTACCAACTGCCCGCACAGCAGGCTATGCCAAAACCTTTCTGCAAAATAATCCGTGAGTAATTTACGTCTTCAACATTAACCATGGGACACTGCTGCATGACAACATTCCTGATCCACCTACACGGTGCCTAAGTCTGTGCTTGGTCTGGAGGGCGGGCAGAGCCTTGTTATCCAGCCTAAGCCCATGGTGTTCGGTCTGACCGCACAGTTTGGTTACATCCTATGAATATGAAGGGCTTAACTTTCTCTCTCAATGTGCTTCTAGGCTCGCCTACAGCCTACACTGAGCCAGGGCTTGCATCAGTCATTGAGGACGTCAGGGAAATGGAAGCTTCAGTCCAAGCTTAAAATATAATGTTAATACACCTCTGGAAAATGCCAGAAATAATAATTAACCTTGTTGTAAAGATAAGACTCTTTGTAAATGTGTTGACATAAATCATTATAAAAAACATATAATGTATATATTATAGGGTAAGATATCCATATGCTGTATGCATAGGGCAAATTAATTAAAAACTACTTCCTGTCCGCGGTCTGTTTCCTAACTGGAGAAACAGTGACTTTCAGTCCAAGCATTAAGCAGATCATCTACAGTAAAATTAGTTGGAAAGGAAAGCAGGGTCGCTCTGTCTTCAAATGCTAGCTAAGAAGATAGAACAGCTCCCTTCTCTGTAATTTTCTTTAATTTTTTGAAGCTTGATGCTTCTTCCATTCTGTTTTGTAAATTGTTGCATTCCATGTGAAAGTAAAATGGCTCCCCTAGTTGCTATCGACAGTCAAGCTAAAGGGTGATTGTGACTAGCCTGGAATTAATACAGCAGTTCCCGTTAAAATGTCTGTATTGAAGCAGGAATCTTCAGTCATTCCTGTGGGAGGAGTTGTTTTGGTAGTTGTCCATGCAGTTACAAAACAGCACCACGTGACTGGTTAACGTGTATTAATCAACACTGATTTTCAAACATTTGTTAGAGGTGAATAAGAAAGTTTCTCCACTCTGCAGGTACACTTTCTGATAAAAGAAGAAACAAGCAGCGCTGAAAAAGTTGCTGTCAGATTACATTAGCTAAGCTGACACAAGTCCTTTTTAAACTGACATAGAAGAAGTTGCATCTGTGTAGGAAGGTTAGTAAAACCATGCATCTAGGTAACTGGATGAAAATAAACCATAGGTGTATATTCAGGACATATGTCTAATGTAGTTCTATATGGAGCTCTATCACCATAATAAAAAGAGTCATTTGTTTGCATCAGAAGCTTGACAATAGTTTAAATTGATTTGAAATAATTTGACTGAACACATACAATCTCCTTCTGCAGGTGCTCACTGATTTACAGTATCTTATGTAAAAATAAATTAAACCTCTTACCAACTTATGTCAGTATTAGTAAACAATCTCTGTACACAAACACATAATTTAAAACTCTTTTGTACATAACAACTGACACACCTAAAGATATGTAAGTTGAAGGCATTCTCAATCTAGGCACCCTCCAGTCATCTAGCCAGAGGCTATGCACATCTCCATTGACATACTGTCATAAGAGACACCGAACCATGGTAGTCTCCAGGCCCGCTGGGGGATGCATGCAGCCTATTAACCCCTTTCCCAAACTTTCTTGAGAACTACAGATCCAGTCATTTTCACTGGTAACAAGTCACTGTTCACTCTAGTTTTACACTGGTACAATTAATAACATTTTGCAAGTTATGATTGAATCCGCAGGTTGAGCTCCCTCAGCTATGGTGGCTTGAGAAGGCATGAAAAGCAGAAACATCCCACTTTCCTATCCCCCTGCCAACTTTATTTTGTCATAAAGGTTAACATTTCTGTCTTTGAATATATAGAAGGATAATGCCAATAGGATAAGAAAAACCAGTTTATATGTAGCCACACATCCAGTGTTTGTTTCTCCCCCTGTTTTCCCAGGACTGCACTCTGACCCGTGTTACTTTTTATCTGTTTTTCAGCGCAACTGAATTGCAAGTGGGTGAAGAGTTACCTAAGGGAAGTGAGAGCAGAGGTGACTTTCCCAATGTTATACGAGCCTTTATTACATGGTGCCTTTATCCCTACAGTGACTGTGCAACTCCCTTTCAGATCAGGCTTCAGCCACCATCAGCATTTTGCTCTTCTGATAGATTCAGAGATTTCAAAGGAGAAACAAATAGGTCATCTATGTGACCTTTTGTGCAGCACCACTCATAAAATGTCACCAAGCGACTGAGTTAAGCATGTTTCCCATTTACTGATGGCTCTTATGACGCTGCACAAGGATTAGATTGACAAACTGAGCTGACTCGTGGTTTCATGGAGCAACCCAAGAGAATGGAGATAGGTCAGAGAGCAGGCAACGCCTTTTCCTCGTACTGGCAATAGTAAGATATCAAATCAAGTTAATCATAAACGGAAAACAAACAAGTAGCAGAAAGCTTCCAAGGCTGGTATTTAGCCTTGCTGCAATGAACAGCAGTGCCTCTGCCAGATAATTTTTTTTCCTCAGTTAGTCAGTTTACTGAGACATCCTTTACTTGTGGGCAAGAATCTCTGTTGACCTAAACCCCTTCAAATGCCTAGGTTTGTACTAATGTAGCAAATGCATGTTTCTGGTTTCAGCGTTTCCTGCATTTTTTGGGGAAAGTCGATAGACCAGGAACTGACAATGTAACTTCTACATTTAACCGGAAGATTTTCATTTGTTTTCAAACTTGATGCAAGATATTGCTGCCCTTCAGAGAACTGCATTCAATTTAGATATTTGGATTAAATTCAGGTAGCCTGAAATGGACTGTGCATGTTGACAGTTGCTCCTATTACTAAATCCTTGGAACTCTCCGGAGGCCAAAGAGAAAATACACCCAGCATACATTTTCTGTGTTAAACTAGACTAAACTAGACTAAATGAGACTAAGTATTGTCCTCCAGCTGCAGTAGTCTACATTGTTTTCCCTCTGACATTCAGAATGCAAACTCAGTTATACAGGAACCTTATGGGGCCATTTTTGTGTGCCAAGCTCAATGGTGGCACTTTAGAACCAAAAGTGAATTGGTAACAGTTGTCTATAATTAAATGGGCTACAGATCGCTTTAGTTAATTTCCCACAAGCTCAAAGCATGGCTATAGTGCTGGTACTAATGCTAAAGCAGAACTGGTCTTTATTTGATAATATCGACCAGGCCCTATTGCAACTAAGAGCCCTCAACGGGATGTTTGTATATTTGGTTAACAAGGGAAAAGCAAACAAAAAGAGGAGGTAATAACGTGATGTGTCTGATGAACAGTTTTACAATGGTGGAGAAGAAGGAGAGCGTATATGCAGCACTGACTTTTGACCTGGTCCATACCAACTTCCAGGATTCTCCAAATGTTAACAGAAGATTAAGCTATCCATTTCAAAAGGCAACAGTGAGAAAAGCTTCTTCTCTTGATGCAGTAGGGACTACTGCCTGCACAGCTGGATTGTAGATAAATGCCTCTATGTAGCCCTTTCACAAGTTTTATTAAAGGAAGTGATGAGTGTTTGGTGTTTTTGGAAATGTTGTTTCATCTCAACGGCATTTATGATGTCCAGTTTAAAATGAAAGAAAAAGAAAAAATTACTCTACTTTGCGCCCTTCTGTTGCTCTGTTTATACTTGACCACCTTTAAATTTGTTTATTGTTATTTATTGATTAATGTTCGTACAACATGTGAATAACATATAATGCCCACACCTGTTGCACTCTTCTAGCACCTATTTTCCTATTGGTTCCTAATTTCTGTTAGAGGTTGATTTGAAAATGCCAGCAGTATGAACTGCAGTTTTACAAAGGCAAAAACTCAAAGCATGTTGAAATGCTTTTGTTAATGCTGAAAGTTAGTGTTGGAGGGATGAATGAGAGGTGTCCAGTGGGATTATTTTCTTCAGGGAGACTTAAACTTCTACATAATTTGGGCACTCTTGTGATAATGAAAAATCAGTGGTGTGTGACAGAGATATTGAAATCTTAGGGACACAGGCATTTTGTGAAGGAAAAGCAAAATATGTAAAATGGAAAAGCTTGAAGATCATAGAGGATAATTCTCATTGCTAATAATCAGAATTCCATGCGAAAAACAAGAGAGGTATCAGCCATTTTCTTCTTATAATCTTCATCAAATTTCTTATTCTGTGCCACAGTGAAATAATTCTTCCAGTCCCCGACAGTCCCTAAGAAACAGCACAGCAAAAAAAGAAAAAAGATTGATTTATCAGTATTTCCTGAAGCCCATTAGCCATGACTCACTAGCTACTTGCACCTCAAGGCTTATTTCAAAACAGAATGACAACCAGGAAGGCAGAGCTGATGCCAGTAACAAACCTCGGTACCTTTTCTCATGAATGGGGAAATGGAGTGATCCATTATTCCCTGAAATTCTTGAGTGTAGTTTGTCATGGGATTTTCCTTCATTATCTCAAATGAGGTATTATGGACTATCTTGTTTAGAACCTCCTGACTGACATCCTTCTCCAGGAACTTCAGAATCTTCTGAGTTTCTTTCTTTGGATTCTGCAGAGACAATAACATGGGATAAGATATAGAGCCAGGAAAAACAAAGAAATCAGACATAGTGTTAAAGTTGCAACTGTCTGTGAGAAGATCAGGTTATTGGAAGGTTTACTGATACAACTGGTGTTATAATAGAAAACTGTTGATGGTAGGTAGTATCTACCGGACTTCCAGATTTCAGAGCTCTAGAAACACATTCTGCCTTTTACCTCCTTCATATCTTCATAGAAGAGGTAGAGAATACGGTGCTTATCTTTTGCTTTCCACCATCCTTTCACATGGTCATACCAGGAGCCCCAGAGCACTGAAAAAGAAGTAACATCAGCAGCAGCTATAAATGCCCAAACTGTCTTTAGGTGTCTGTGGCCCTCATGTTTCCCTCATAACCAGTGTCTGGGCGTTTCCCAGCTGGTGTTGAATCACTGTGGGCATGACTGCCGTGCTCTGTGCTTACCACAGCATTCGTGCCATTAACCCCTCAGGTGTATGGATGCTCAGAGCAGGATTCATGTGTAACTTTAGAGGGCAACAAATGCAGATGCTTAGCCGTGAATGAAAATCCAAGCTGCCTTTATGGTCGATGGAGAGAAACAGATGTTTCCAGAGTCATTCATCTGATCAGCTGGACAAGACCAGTCTTAATTGGCCCTGCTTTGAGCAGGGGTTTGGACTAGATGGACACCAAAGTTCCCTTCCAACTTGCGTTATTCTGTGATTCTAACTGATTTAAATACTTGTTATACTATCAGAAATGCCTGTTTCTCTCCAGCAAGTATCAAGATGACTGGTTTACACACCAAGATGACTAGCTTGGACAGAGGTAGCCATGTTCTAGATGTCTGCACTGTGACAGGTGACTCCGAAGCCGAGCTGGTCAAACACAAGACACAAGGTCTCCTTTAGACATGAGAGTCTCATTCTGGTCCAGACAGTGGAGTTTCTAGGCCTAGATGGGGGCAAAAATATTAAGGACCTATGGAAGCTTTACTGACCCAAATTGCAAACTGCTATCCACCTGAGTAGGTTTTCTTTCTTGGATATGAGCACCCTTTTCTCAAAGGGAAGAACTAGCTTCTGGGGTTGCCCGTCTTTAGTTAGATAACTGACTTTGTTTAGATGCCTGATTTTTAGACAGACTGATTTAGGTAAAAAACTCCCTTATCTCAAATTCACACCTGACATTTCTACGCAAAATTAAACCTTAGTCTCTTGTATATCAGGTTAGAGTAAAACCAATTAAACCACTGTTGCCTCCCAGCTGGCTGCTTTTAACCTCAGAGAAAAGAGATTAAGCTTGAAAATTGTCATATTCTGAATCATAACAGAATAAAGAGTAGCTTTTTTTTTTTTTTTTTTTTTAAATGGGAATGTAAAGATAGAACTAATCCTTTAGGTACTAATAAAAACCCATGAATGAAAATAAATTACTACTGAAACACCTTCAGTAGATATCCTTCCATAGAGTGTCAGCACTGGATTTCAAACCATAGCTGAAATAAATAAATCAATGATGTAATGCATTTTTAAAATGAACAAAATCTCTTATACAACTCATTGCAGTTCATCACCTTTTCCAGTCATGAATTTCTCCATGAACTCCTCCCAGGTTCCTGGGTCAGGCAGTTCTTTATTCATTCTGTGGAAATGGTAGTATGACACGAGGTTGTCTTTTGGATTTCTTGCCACATAGATTATCTTTATTGATATGAAAAGAGAGAGAGAGAAAAAAAAAACAACTTACAGATGCTTACATAGATATCGAGCATCTCCTGGAGTTTTCTTTTGGAGCCTGACTGTTGTCAGATTTAAGAGATTTTGCTTTGAAGCTGCCGTTTTCTGAAATCCAACTCAGGTAATTCACTCTAGTCGTGACTTCCTTAGTTTCTCACAAGCTTTGCACATTAAAGGCAAAATATCTAGGGAGACCTTTAAATTTCACAAAGATTCTGGAAACCATATTCAGTCCTGGTTTATGTCACTTTCTTTGCAGGTGAAGTAGAATTGAGTCCTACCTCTTCAGCCTTACCTTACAGTTTTGTTCCCAGAAGGAGGGAGGCACCAGCTGCGCAGGGAGATGAGTTTTTATTGTTCGTGGAGAAGGCATAGCTTCAGCTAACTCCAGGCCTGTGGGATGTTTTGTTATGAGATGTGACTTGTTCTCTTAATTGCACTAGCACTTCTTTGCTATTCTCACATGTGTGATTTTCATAGTGACTTTTCAGCAGTTCACCTTGCAATGATCATTCAACTCCAAAGCAATTACGTAGCAGTGTAATATATACAACATTGCATAAACAGCTTCAGTGATTCTGGAGAAACTTTCACCTAAATATTCAAGGAGGAAAGGGGGAACACTGTTTCATATCTTCTTCTTGCTTTCTTGGGCCCATGTCTAACCCTGCATTCCAAGGGATGATGATGAATACTCATTTATATTTACCCAACCAAAGTTTTTCCCTCACAATATTTAGTGATCCCCTTCCACTTTGCAGGTAAGAAATTTTCGTTTCTTTCTAGGATATGAGAAGAACAGACTGGCTGACTAGACTTTCTGGATAGCATGTAAAGGGAGACTAGAAGATGACGGATAGTGGATTTTGACTGGCTATGGATATATGGGAATACTTGGGAATATCTGGTGATATGTGAGGATGTGTTATCGCCTCCCTCCCTCCTTTTTAAACATCCATCATGATCGCTATCATTTTCTTTTCCCCTATCATTGTCTATCATCCTCTGTAATTTTTTTTGTCTCTCTCTATGTCAACACAGTCTAGCTTAGAAGAGAAAAAGTAGCACTTCTGCTACAGAGTTAGTCAAGCTTTTTAGCTTCAAATGTGAAGAGAGTCTGGCTTAAAGATTTGTGTGGAACAGGAACCCTTGCTGGTGGAAGACTCTTGTAGGAAACTGTCTTTGCAAAACAGTCAGGCCTGCTAGTTGTCTGAATGCCCCATAGCTTGGTTAGATGACTAGACCCTAGAATTTAACAGCAGTCACTCAAGACAGTAGCAAAATCACTGAAAACGTTATCCACCTTTTGGGAATACATCCGTGACATAGGTTTCTCTTCCATACAGGCCCTAATCAGAGAATGGGATTCAATTACCCTCACGTTGCCATTTTATGCATATCTGCTGCTGGTTTAGGTGCTGTGGAGTATCACATATAGCTTTCAGCTGCCGTTCCAAAACAGCATGGTCTTCAGTAGTGCCCGGGTCACATCTGCCAGCCTTGCATTGGTTTGAGTAGCACTAGATATTTACGTTAAAGCAACAGAACTGACGCCTAATACCCAATACAGTGTATAGTTCAGTGATAAAGCAAGTGGGACCTCTCCCAGGAAACCTGGGGCACCAGCACTGGGTGCTTGTTTTGTTTCATTTTGTCTAAAACACAAACCTGTTTGTATAATATTCACCTGAGTAACTCATAGCTGGAGGCTCTGGCATAGTCCACTCAAGGAAAGGATGGCGTCTGTAAGTAGTGGCGCGTCTACACTTGTCAACATCTCCATTTTGTTGAATCATATCCACTATCTCCTGTGTCCATGTGGTACCTGAAAATGTCAATGTTTAGGTGTTTCCCTCAGGGACAGCCAAGAGCCTCTTCTGCTAGGGAACTGAAAGCCAGAAGGATGGGCTCCATATTAAAGGAGGAAGGAACAGCATACAAGACGATGGACAAAGCAGAAAGAGAGGATAATGGAGGAAAAATCTGTAATTGAGAATACAAAGGTAATTCCCAAAGCACAGTTTCAGGGATTCCATTTTAGACAGGCTGCTTCTTGCCAACAGAAAGAGCCTCCACCCCCACACCAGTAGCAAAAAAAGCTCTGGGATAAACTCACTATTATTTGGAGGTTGTATTATTTGCACAGAGGAGTGAAATTCCCTCCTCCCAATTTTCGTACCTCACAAAAATTCCGGTATTTCAACATTTGTTTTCATGCTGCATTTGAATGAAAAAATGAAATACCTGAACTTTGAGTGAATAAGAATTTCATACAGTTAGAAAATATAAAAAAGTTGCAGTATTTGCCATGTTTGCATTCGAAATGCTTTCATGAAGGAGAGTACAAGATATCATCTGCCTGAGCTACTGCAATATCTTGAAATTCGAGTTACAGTGTTGTGTCTCTCATGTGCTTCTTTTCCCTCACAGCCGTGATCACTGGGTTAACGACATCTCCTCCGAGGTACTGTGGCAGGTCAGCTAGAGAACAGGAGAAGGGATAACTTGGAAAGCAATGTGAGCAGGAAACTCAGCCCTTCTTAATGTTCTTGAACTGTGCATCTCAGGCAGATACAAGATAATGTCAAATGGACTCCTAACTTACTTTCTTTTCAATTCAATGGCTGGAAGGTTTTAATCCACGCTGGATTAAATAACATGGTTTTGCTTTCAGTATCCAGGAAATAAATTAAAAGCTTTCAGGTTTTACAAAAATAATGGAGCCTTTTTTTTTTTTGTAATAATGCTTTTTATTCTTCTACTGAAAAAAATACTTTAAATTTCTTACTAATTCAACATATTATTTTTTATGATCATCAGATGTTCCTGAATCTGTTCCCAAGTCCCCTAAACTGTACATGTTTTTATTCATCCAGGATTAATATTCATGCTTGTTATTCGTTGTTTTCCTGTGTAGTAAGTATAAAGGGTCTGGTCAAGAGGAGAAATAGTAATGAGCTAAGTGTCCAGTCACTGAATAAAGTACCAGATAGCTAATGTTAATGGTGGGTATTTTATTTTATTGGCTGAAATTAAATGAATTTGGTTATTTCCTTAAAATAATTAACCCATTTCAAGAAATCAGTACTGGTTTACACACCAAGTCATTCCCCAAATACATTATACAATCCATAGTTGTTCAGTCAGTTTCTATTATTTCTTAGTAATGATGACTTTTTACTAGAGTTTGTTAAATCATTACCTATTGGTGGAAAACATCTATTGTTGCCATTGATATCTATGTATATAATCTAAATCAAAGGAAACTTTTAAGTATTGGTAGTTAGACTTTGACCATCTGAACTCCAATAATAATAGATGCTTGTTACTTCTGCCAAAGAATTCAGAAGTTACTAGTCATAGCTGACAGAGCTTTATGTCTTTAAAATATGTCTGATTTGGGATTAAACAAATATCAGTCACAATAGAAAAACATAATTTTCAATTCCAACAATAAGCACTATCCCAAACTTTTCTGTTCTATTTCCTACCCACACCAACCTGCTTTTGCATAGGTTGCGATGAGCAGATCGTCAGGTCTGGCTTTGAACTTCCACACTTGGTCCCACGTGTCGCATATCGGTTTTGTGAGGAGAATACCTTCTACTTCACCCATCTTAGCTCGGGACAATGTCTGTTGCAGACTCAAATCTTTCATTTTATCCAGGGCCATTGAGCACTGAATGAAGAAAGAAAGGCTTGGAATTAACATACTTGCTCTGCAAAAATATCTAACTTTGCTCATCTATTCTGGAGATCTCTTTCATTGACCGAATTCCATGTCCTCTGATTTCTTTGGCTATGATTTGACCTATCTGGATCCACATATAGGCTCCTTAAAACTGGATCTAATTCTCAGAAATGATTGATATATTGCTGGTGGTGGTTCTCAGCATCTCTAAAAATCACTCTGTTTACTCAGTTAGAAAAAGAGAAAAAAAAGGTATTATTCCCATCTTTAAACATTTTGCCAAACATGTTTATGTAAAATTCTGGCTGTAGGCATGTGGTCTTTGAAAGGCAAGAAAAAGTAACCAGAGCTGTGATTCAAAAGAAGGCAGAGCATAACGGCTCCCACTGAAGTCCACGCACAGGACCCAACCCTTCCTTCTGAAAGAAAATAAACAGAAATGCCTGCTAACACCCTTTGGGCCTCGTACTCACAAAAATATTTGCAGAGCCTTTCTGTGTTTTGTTCCTGGAGCTTTCCACTCTTAGAGCTCTTTGCTGTTTATTGAATTTTGTTGCGGATAAATACCTGAACGAGATAGATCATTAACTAATGGTTGTTAGACTTTAATTATTGAAATCGATTTAGTTAAGTCTACTGCCTATTGTACAGTTATTGATTCAGTAACTAGTTGTTGATTTCTGGATTTCTCTCAAGGAGGCCTCTTCTTAGCCGCAACATTCAGAGCTCCAGAATCTGGTCAGAGGAAAGTTCTGCTTAAGGGGAGGCTATAGAAATCACCTCAATTAAAAATATCAACCAGAAAAAAGACATTTCAGTCCCAACAGCAAACATTGCCAAAATATTTCCTGTCATTTCCTTGTTTACTCTCACCCAGTTTCACACAGATTCAGTTGAGCAGAGCAAGAGGTTGGCTTGGTGGCTAGGCAGCGACCCAAGAAATTTTAAAAAAGAAGGAAAAGGAAACTTGCCAGAGAATTTTTCCTGCTTGAATGTCTTCAGTCCTTGGCTGTATTGACGACTGTGCACTAACTTAGATCTTCAGGCAGAAGTAGGATAAAAGCTTGGGTGGAGTTTCTGTTCCTCCTATGAGTGTGAGGAGAGCAAAGGAGGAGGAACAGCAGCAGCCAACAGCTGAACAGTTTTTCTGGCTTGGTTTGTGAACTCCTTTTTAATCCTGTGGAGGAAAAATACTTTGAATTCTCACCTAAAGTGTGATTCTTTACTGGCAACAACTTTAAATGTTGGTCAGTTGCTCGAGAAAGATTATTGTAACTTGTCTCTGTCATTGTCAAGTCTTGGAATAATTCATTTTCTTCCTAATAGCTACTCTAAATTGCAAAATAGTTTATTATTTGTTAATACCTAAGATTAACGAGAATGAATGAAATAAAGGTAACTTGGTTCCATTTTCACCGTGCCTATTTAATAGATGTCTAAGGGTCTGTTTCACTGCTGGAGCCAGCCATTTGTGTTGTATAGCACTTTCTAGACTGCTTCACTTCTCAACTAGCTAGGCATTATGGGGTTAGGGATCACTACATGTTCGATAATGTTCTTTTACAAAATTTAAGTTGTGCCTGTCTTTAAGTCTATATGAGATACTGGGAGAGATAATCATAGAATCATAGCATCATTTAAGTTGGAAAAGACCTTTAAGATCATCAAGTCCAACCACTAACCTAGCATGGCCAAGTTCACCACTAACCCATGTCCCTAAGCACCACATCTACACGTCTTTTAAATACCTCCAGGGATGGGGACTCCACCACTTCCCTGGGCAGCCTGGTCCAGTGCCTGACAACCCTTTCGGGGAAGAAATTCTTCCTAATATCCAATCTAAACCTCCCCTGGCGCAACTTGAGGCTGTTTCCTCTTGTCCTATCGCTCTCTACTTGGGAGAAGAGACCGACCCCCACCTGGCTACACTCTCTTTTCAGGTCATTGTAGAGAGCGATCAGGTCTCCCCTCAGCCTCCTCTTCTCCAGGTGAAACAACCCCAGCTCCCTCAGCTGCTTCTCACACAACTTGAGCTCCAGATCCTTCACCAGCTTCACCAGACTAGCCACAAAGAGCGTGGCAACATTGGCTACCAAAATTATGTCAATGACACTTTTATATCTAGTTCTCAGCTGTTGCAGTCATCCAGAAATGTTTGATTGCACCAGGAAAAGCTGTTCTTGGGCAAAATGCAGGTCACTGCAGCTGAACTCAAGCAAGTTTTAATGGATTGTGTTCATAAAAGAAAATTACTTTGAAACAGCATTGCTATCAGGCATTGCTTCCGTCTTCTGTTGAAGGCATGCAAGCACTGTGAGTACTCAAGGTTCATTTTGGACATCCTTTGGATGGTCTGGCAATGTTTGTATCTAAAATGACTTTCTGTTATATCATTATTTTAAAGACATTTCCTATGTCCTAATCAAACGAGGATGTGGCCATCGTTGCAGTAATCCTACCCTCATATGGAGGGCTAGTCAGCATGACCAGTGTAGTCTAGAAAGTGATTCAGCTGACCAAAGGTGCACTGACTTGCTCTGCAGAGTCCATGCACTGTATGGATTAGCTCTCCATTGACTGTAGGAGGAGCAGAGATATATCTAGCTTGCAAAGACTCACTTATATTTTAAGGCACAGGTGGGAAGTGCAGATGTTCTGCCCCAGGGGTGAGGGGTGAAACGAGAGTGAGTCAATGCAGGGTTCTTTCTGAATCTCTGTAAGAAAGGCCTGACAACAAATGGCTTACTGAAATAGCTGTTTCAATAAGACAGAGTGAGAGGAGGGATACAGACAGCGAGTAAATATTGCATCCCTTCAGATGCTGGGAACCTTGTGTTTGTGCAACATCAGATGGAGCCTGGGTGGATTTTTCCCAGGGCACGCCGAGCAGGTCCTGTCCATGGAGAGCAGCTCCTCCTTTTTGGCCATTCGAGCTATTATACAATTTTCTTGCAAGAAAACGACTCTTATTGAAGGATGTTCACAGGAGAACGTCTTGTTGCCCTTTTAGACAAAGGCAAGGCCAGGCAGGAGGTGTGATCACCGGTACCAAGTGGGAGCTGCCTGCAGGCTCCTGTTACAGGGAGCTGGCTGAGTTCACCTGCGGCCAAGCACAGGATGAACCCTGCAGAGCATTGATCTGGGCAGCTCCGGTTAACTGTGGTGGGGATCTCTGGCTCCTGGATGTAGCATGGTCTCCGGGTCAGGATCCCCACCTTCTACCCCATGGTCCACATAGAGGCAATGACTTTCCTGACATAACTCACAGCACAAAGTGGGTCCCTGCTGAGGGGCTGTGGGAGTCAGTGATTTGGTTCAGCATTCCCTGTACGATTTCAGGAAAAGTTTCCAAAGAATCAGGAAACAAACCAAGAAACCAAGAGGACTGCTTGATTGGCTTTAAGCCAACCACTTGATCTTTTTCTGGCTCTGACACTAGGTTTTTCTTCTGAAGGCTGACAACACCAAAACTAACAAATAACACAGAACAAGTAGAGAATATGTGGTTAAGGTATAATATTTCTTCTTCTGTTTGTGTTTTTTTTTTTTAATGTGACCCATACTTTTGAGTTCTGTCATGGGAGGATTTGCCATTTTCCTCTCTGTGTTAAGCCTGTGCTGATTCTGTTTGTCCTTCTCACACCTGCACCTGGTAGTTCATTTGCTGCTTTGAAATGGTATTCATCCGCCTTTCAGTTACCAACCATCCTGATAACCCAGTAATCCCTGAAGCACATCAGCTGGTGTGTCTGAACAAAGAAAAACTCAAGAGCTGCTTATCAGGTGGCTCTCTTTTATTGCAGCTGTTCATCTGAGTAGCCTGTGAACAGTGCACTGTGCCAGATAAGCTGGAGTGAGGTCAAAAGCCACTGCCTGTACCTTTAAAACTGCTTTTGAAGTATGCAATGGGTGATGGATTTCTCCTGTTGTGAAACAGGGAGGTCAGAGTTGAACTGACCGGTCCAGGGACTGAGTTTCTGGTCTGGGATCATGGTTTAGTGGCCCGCTCTAAAAAAAGACCAGGCATTCTCTGCAAAAAGCTTCCTCCATGTTTCCATTGATCTTTTCGTGAGTGCAAACTTCTGGCAGGTGTTTCCTCATGTAAAACACACTATTTACTTACATACTTTTATTTGGTGACATAGATTTATGATTGTTTCTTCTAAGTTTCCCTTGGTAGGAACTGGAAACAGAAGTGTATGTCCTGGGGACCCTCGGGCATTTGGTGGGTCAGGACCCCATTAATACATGCTACTCCTGTGCTTCATGGCTATCCATGCCCACACCATGCTGTTCTTGACATTGATATGACTACTTATGTGAGCAGAGATATTCAAATGTTACTGACTAGAACATCTGAAGGAAGTCAAGCAAAGATAAACAGCACTACAGTGGAGTCAAAACTAGAAGAAAGCAGATGAATAAAGACACAGTTTTCTTCCCTTAGCCCTCCAGACTCTGGAATCGGGTCAATGTTTGGTTTTTGCAGCTCTTCAAGTGAGATCTCCTTTAAAATCTCTTCTTTCATTCCTATTAAATATATCAGTTTTAGGTATTCTAGCGCGAAAAAAAAATGCAAAGGGATTATCTAAGAAATAAAATACGTTTCCAATTACTGCCTGAAGCTTTTATTTTTTTAAAAAAAATCATTAATAGAACATTTCTTGTTGAAGATAATTCTGCAACAAGATCTCTGGCAAAAGGTTCTGTTTTATTAACTAATGGAAAGCCCTAACATTTCTGTATTAGCTCTTTTTACTCTCCCTGCAATGAGTGTTTCAGGGATCACTTGTATGTAGAGAAAGAATATTTGAAAGAATGCGGGTGACTCAAAAACTCACCGAATGTATTACATCAGATTTTAAAAACAGCTAACAGAAATGTGTCTTGGACAAGAGAACTCTCTCAGGCTAGTGGACATGAGTAATACCCAAACAATTTAAAGCCAGAGAAGGCTGCTTTTGCTCTAATTTTCATGTTGG